CTCACTTATGTTTCCCAACTGATATATCTAGCATAATTCATTTATGATCAGTAAACGCCTTTATATTCAAAAGAATAAATTTATTTGCTAAAAATCTAGTGAATATACCTTGATCTTTCTCAAGGATCGCTTGTTACGGTTGTCTTAAAGATAGACATATATGATGAACTAAAAATATTCTTTATTAATAAATTCACTTAGTTTTGTTTGGTTGAATTTTTCCATTCATGTTTAGGACTGAAACTGATCAGTCTCTTATTGGCATATGTGCATAATGTGTATTTTGCCTCAATGTTGACTTAATTCACAAGCATTCTAATGAAAGATGGATAATGGCTAGTAGTGGAATGCAGCGCTATATCGAAGCAATATTCACAGTATGCACATATGCCAGCAAGAGTCTGATCGATTGCAGTCCTAAATATCAATGGGAAGATTTAAACAAAAAATACCAAGTGAATTTAAACTTTATCCTATTGCACAACCAAGTGGCTATCAGGACTGAGTAGCTAAGTGGATAACGCGGTCGTGTTTGAAGCGGACGGTACTGAGTTCGAGTCCCAGAGTGAACATCAACTCTGAGATGCAGGTGTATCCAACTGACGAGTCTCGAATAGAACGAAACATGCGTTGTGGATTCCACTGCTAGCCACTATCTATCTTTGCTTATAGATCTTTATTATTACTAGTGGCTTTATTCAATATTATATTTTGGTACAATATAAAATTCTCAACACAAAGTATTTCAACAAGTTTCTTTTTCTTATTTCTTGATTGATCCTGACGATATATATTGAGTGGTCGCCAGTTAGATGTTACCAACTCGGAAATCGACATCTGAATAATGTATATTTTCTTCGATGCTTATAGGCAGCAACCATGGTATCTCTGATTGGACTGTTTTGTAACTTTTACAGTGAAATGTCGCAAACGTTTCATAAATAGGTTGTGGGACAAATAGGCATAGTGATGTGTTCAGACAAACAAGATGACTGGTTGAAATATCTAGAAGGCAGGAACAGGTAACCCAGATATTCAAGCAGACCACACAAAATACATGAAAAATAATAATGCAGTTCTGTCATAACTCCGCCTGTAGCTCCTCTGTGGGTTACTGCCGGTCCCAAGCCCGGGTAAAGGAGGAGGGTTGGGCATGGGGTTAGCGACCCCATCCCGTAGAAAATCAACACGCTAAAAAAACGCTAACCAGAAAAAATCATTCAAACCTTTCAAACTCTGCCCTGGGAATAGAAGGAAAAATGACGTCTCATGATGAAAGCAGAGTTCATTCGGAAGTCATGAGGCCGATGCACCTTCTTACAACCAGAGCGACAATTTTTATAGGTACATGGAATGTCCGAACTATGTGGGAGACCGGAAGAGTCTTCCAAATTGCTGCAGAAATGAGAAAATACAATCTGGAGGTTCTTGGAATCAGCGAAACACATTGGACGCAGGTTGGACAACAACGACTGTCTTCAGGAGAACTTCTGTTATACTCCGGTCATGAAGAAGAAAATGCCCCACATACACAAGGAGTTGCATTGATGCTGTCCAGAAAAGCACAAAATGCACTTATAGGATGGGAATCTCATGGACCAAGGATCATCAAAGCCTCCTTCAGAACAAAGAGAGAGGGCATTACAATGTACGTCATCCAATGCTATGCGCCTACCAATGACTACGATGAAGACGCTAAAGACCAATTCTACGATAGGCTGCAGTCGATCGTCGAGAAGTGCCCAACCAAGGACCTGACAATTCTGATGGGAGATGTCAATGCTAAGGTTGGAATGGACAACACTGGATACGAAGACGTTATGGGACAACATGGACTGGGAGAAAGGAACGAAAATGGTGAGAGATTTGCAAACCTATGTGCCTTCAATAAACTGGTCATAGGTGGCACCATATTTCCACACAAAAACATACACAAGCCACTTGGATTTCACCGGATCACACTACACAGAATCAAATCGACCATATCTGCATCAACAAAAAGTTCAGGAGGACGATGGAGGATGTGAGAACCAGAAGAGGAGCTGATATAGCATCCGATCATCATTTGCTGGTCGCCAAGATGAAACTAAAACTCAAGAAGCAGTGGACAACGGCGCGGACAACATCACAAAAGTTTAATACGGCCTTTCTTCGAGATGCTGACAAACTCAACAAAGCCCTCAGCAACAGGTTCCAGGCCTTTCATGACCTACTCAATGGAGAGGGTACTAACATGGAGAGCAACTGGAAAGGTATCAAGGAGGCAATCGTTTCAACATGTCAAGAGGTTCTGGGCCAAAAGAAGCACCATCACAAGGAATGGATCACTGTTGGTACACTGGATAAGATTGAAGCAAGGAGGAACAAGAAGGCAGCAGTCAATATCAGCCGAACAAGAGCGGAAAAAGCCAAGGCACAAGCCGAATACACAGAGGCAAACAAGCAAGTGAAGAGGAGCATCAGAACCGACAAACGTAAATATGTGGAAGATTTAGCAATGACAGCGGAAAAGGCTGCAAGAGAGGGAAACATGAGACAACTGTATGATACAACAAAGAAACTTGCTGGAAATCACCGTAAGCCAGTAAGACCAGTGAAAAGCAAGGAAGGCAAAGTAATCACCGACATTGAAGAACAACGAAACAGGTGGGTAGAACACTTCAAAGAACTTTTGAATCGACCAGCTCCACTGAACCCACCCAACATCGAAGCAGCACCCACGGACCTCCCAATCGATATTGGCCCACCAACAATTAAAGAAATCAGAATGGCCATTAGACAAGTCAAGAGTGGCAAAGCAGCGGGACCAGACAACATCCCGGCGGAGGCACTGAAAGCAAATGTAGCAGCAACTGCCAGGGTACTCTACATCCTCTTCAGTAAGATTTGGGACGAAGAACAAGTACCAACAGACTGGAAAAAAGGACTTCTGATCAAGATACCAAAGAAAGGCGATCTGAGCAAGTGCGACAACTACAGGGGCATCACTCTTCTCTCAATACCAGGGAAAGTCTTCAACCGAGTATTGTTAAACAGGATGAAGGATTCCGTGGACGCCCGACTTCGAGATCAACAAGCTGGATTTCGTAAGGATTGATCGTGCACAGATCAAATCGCAACTCTGCGGATCATTGTGGAACAATCAATCGAATGGAATTCACCACTCTACATCAACTTCATCGACTACGAGAAGGCATTTGATAGCGTGGACAGGACGACACTATGGAAGCTTCTTCGACACTACAGCGTGCCTGAGAAGATAGTAAATATCATACGGAACTCCTATGATAGACTAAACTGCCAAATCGTCCACGGAGGACAACTCACCGACTCATTTCAAGTAAAGACCGGTGTTAGGCAAGGTTGCTTACTCTCACCGTTTCTCTTTCTCCTGGTAATCGACTGGATCATGAAGACGTCAACATCTGGAGGAAATCACGGGATACGGTGGACAGGCAGGATGCAACTTGACGATTTAGACTTCGCGGATGATCTGGCTCTTCTATCACAAACGCAACAACAAATGCAGGAGAAAACGACCAGTGTAGCAGCAGCCTCAGCAGCAGTAGGTCTCAATATAAACAAAGGGAAAAGCAAGACTCTCCGATACAACACAATATGCACCAATCAAATTACACTTGACGGAGAAGCTTTGGAGGATGTGAAAACCTTTACATATCTGGGCAGCATCATTGATGAACATGGTGGATCAGATGCAGATGTGAGGGCGAGGATCGGCAAAGCAAGAGCAGCATACCTACAACTGAAAAACATCTGGGGCTCAAAACAATTGTCAACCAACACCAAGGTTAGAATTTTCAATACAAATGTCAAGACAGTTCTACTGTATGGGGCGGAGACGTGGAGAACTACGAAAGCCATTATCCAGAAGATACAAGTGTTCATCAACAGCTGTCTACGGAAAATACTTCGGATCAGATGGCCAGACACTATCAGCAATAAGTTACTGTGGGAGAGAACAAACCAGATTCCAGCAGAGGAAGAAATCAGGAAGAAGCGCTGGAAGTGGATTGGGCACACCTTGAGGAAATCAGCTAATTGCGTCACACGACAAGCCCTCACATGGAATCCTGAAGGTCAAAGGAGAAGAGGAAGACCAGAAAACACATTACGCTGAGAAATAGAGACAGACATGAGAAGAATGAACAAGAACTGGATAGAACTAGAAAAGGAAGCCCAGGACAGAGTGGGTTGGAGAAAACTGGTCGGCGGCCTATGCTCCATTGGGAGTAACAGGCGCAAGTAAGTAAGTAAGTTCTGTCATAATATAAATAATCATGCTTTTATTGTTGAGAACATCAAAAACTGATCCATCAGTTTTTGAACTGAATATATCTGATTCAAATTTCACCCAATGATCAAGAGGTTTGTTAGACACTTATGTTCTCACTTTAATTCTATATGTTATGTGACACTTTATTATTTTTTTCAGTTTTCAAGCTATCTATTCACTTCTACAATTCATCGTCATTACGCCGAGAAATAGAAGCAGATATGAAAAGGATGAATAACAACTGGAAAGAACTGAAAAGGATTGCCCAGGACATAGTTGAATAGAGAATGCTGTTGGGCGGCCTATGCTCCTCCACGAGGGGTAACAAGTGTAAGTAAGTAAATCACCATCATCATTATCTTCTTCTTCTTTTTCTTCTTCATCATCATCATAAAGTGTGGACTGTCTCGACGTAGCCTTAATTCACAAGCATTATAAGCAAAGATGGATAATGGCTAGCAACGGAATCCAGGGCTATATCGAGGCAATACGCACAGTATGCACATATGACCTTCTTCATCATCATCATCATCATCTTCTTCTTCTTCTTCATCATCATCACCTTCTTCGTTATCATCATCATCATCATCGTCACCACCATCATCTTCATCCTCATCATCATCGTTGTCGTCATCATCATCCTAAAAAGTAACAATTATGAATATCATATACAAAATTATTCTTCTTATCATTCAATTTAACTTACTTAATCTTTTCATCTAATTCTTCAGCTTGTATATTCTTTGAATCAATTATATTAGATTGACATGATGTTTCTAATAATGATTGTATTAAATAATTATCAACTGGTAACATTAAATCTAATATTATATCATCTTGTATTAAAAATGTTTGTTCTAATATTAAACGAAATTTTGATATTAATTCTATTATATGATACCAACAATTCCATGTTATATTGGAATCATTCAATGGTGTATTATTATTATTGTTTGTTTTAATGATAAGGAATTCATTTGAACAAAATGTTTGATTTAATTTAATTTTTAATAATTCAAGACTTTCAATTAATTGATCTATAATGTATATAGAAATAGAGAAATAGAATATTGGGTTAATGAATAGTAAAATGTAATTATTACACATTGTAAATAAATAAATTTTATTAGTAAAAGGGGGGTAAAAGAGACTGTTAGGTGTTGGGTTCGAATATGGCGGAGTGGGATCATGGATGAGCATTGCTCAGGAGTCCTACAATAGGACGAAATGACCGTCCAGTGCTTTTAGGTTTTCTACGGTGATCTAGCTTTAATTGACTCATGATTTTAACTATAAAATAATATAGGAGTTAAATTCATGAGTTAATTAGTTGAAGTTAGATATTAACACCGTGAGATGCCGACTAGGTGTTCTAGATGTTAATTGTTTGTGAGCGAGATCGAAGGTTTTGGGTTTGAATCAAGCGAATGAGATCATGGATGAGCAATGTTGAGGAGTCCCATATTAGAATGAAACGGTTATTCAGTGCTTCCAGGTGTCCTATGGTGGTCTAGATTTAATTGATTCATGATTTTAACTATAAGATAAATCTTAATTTAACTAGTAGAAAATGTTTGGATTATTTAGATTGCTATATTTTATTTCAGTTTAATTTGTGATAGTTTAGTTTATCCAATTGCCTAACAAGTTTACATACAATAAATATAATGTGGTTATCAATAGAATCATGAGGATTCATTTCATCTTGTTTGTAACCTATCAGTTAAATATACCCGGAGTTGTTGTCCACTCCAAGAAACATGTACATCAAGTTGATTGGTTTTAAATAGGACAAAACAACTATCGTGCCCTCCATTACTAGCTACATTCTACCCATTTTATTGAAAGTTCATGTAAATAATTTATTTTGTCATAAGCAAAACCTGTGTTGTCTTATCGAATCCCGTAGTTTAGCGTATATTCATATAGGATTTTAAGTGATGGGTACCACATTCTAGTTTTGTTGTGAATATGAACACTGAGGAACCGCTAAATCTTTAATAAACTGAAATGTTTATTCTTATTAGTAAATATTCGAAATGTAATTGACTTTTAAATTCAAACATCATATCAAGACTATTCTTCAGAGAAACTAGTTTTGACCGCATGAACACTTTAAACAATGTATCTCAATCAATTAAAATTAACTATTTATATACCTAATAGATCAACTGATTGATGCTACCTCACTCAAGTTATTAATATTCCGAATAATCTTAAAAGCTTTGAGTGGGATTCATAATTAAGCAAAGAAATTCCATTAAATATTCTAGCACCTGTAACTGTATCGTCCCTGACAACCTTAACTAATCTGGATAATATCTAACACGAATAGTAGATCAGAAAACAAATTACCACATATATAACGGTTGACCTAACTAACCTATCGTAATAATTATTGCCCTTTTCGCTCTGTGATCCTTTCTTTTTCTTTGTTTTCTCTAGTTATAGATAGTTATGATAAGTTCGTTATGGAGTAGGAAATGACAAATGCGTCGTCCATACATCAACAGGATGTTCGCTATAATACAGTTTTTGAACTAGTAAACTTAAAACAACCTTATATCACGTGTTTTTTTCTCTACATTTAATGTTACTATTCATATCAAGCTGATCATGCCTGTAAACTGGCATGAATTCTGCAATTTAATGATGTACGTTATGGGACTATTCCGATTGCATATATATCTATCTTGCAATAAAAAAAACAAATTAAACTGAATGAATCAATTGCATTCACATGTAACTTTCTTACTTTATTTCAAACCACAGATGTTACTTGAAGTAGGTTTCATAACTAATCTTCAGTTATTCCTTAACTTGTGCAATCAAACACAAGACATTTCAATTTTAATATTCAGAACACTAATCTTCAAAGCTTACTGAACTATTTTCTGGTCAATACTTCATACAACTAAGTTAGAGTTTTTAAACTATGTCAGTAAAAACAATTTTTACCCAGAGAGACGTAATATCATAGGATGATACTGAGTATTAATATGTTGTATATCGTTATTCAGTCATACAAATGGGAGTTTTGAAAAGCGATTTGAACGATGGGAGAATTAAGATACTTACTTATAACAGTGTAATCATGATAACGAGTAACGGGATATCGTGGCTCAATGATTAAAGCATTGAGCAGTACTATGCTCAAGTCCCAGTGTAAGCATTAACACTAAGACAAAGGTGAATCCAGCTGACCAGTCTCAAATATGATGAATTGTGCCTCATGGATTTTACTGTTAAACATAAACTACCTATGATAAATCACTACAATTTGTTCCTCGAAAAATAAATATCGGACGGTGTAAAACTCAAACATAAAACTATTCGAATTGTTTCCATCATTATGAATGTGAGTAGTTTTTCCACTGGGTTTTTCTACTATTTTAGAAACTATCCACTTACTTAACTATGCCATGATGGTCTAACAGTACAGTACATCTTTATATTTATAACAACACACTGGTGTCATGCTAATAGGTGGTTGATCTAGTTTTCTGGAAGCTATTTCTTATTCTTAAATGTCTAAACACACAAAAAATTAAGTTAAATGTGTTCTATTGATTACGTCTAGCTATTCAGCATTGTAACAATAAATTAATTATTCAAATTACTCTAGTAAAGAAAGCATAGTTTCTTCTTTTTTTTAAGTAGCTTAACGGATTTTTCTCTTTATTATCTATCCCAAAGGTCATTTCTTGATTTCTCTCTTTGAAATACTTTGGATCATTGTTTCATTCTAAACTGCAAAATCATATTCACATTTTATAGGAAGAAAAACCATACCAATTCGTGTGAACGACAAAGGAAACCAGACTAGTATTAATTACAGTACTATATATATATATATAAGTAATATATTATGGAAAGTAATTCCAAGTTTAACCATTTAGAGAAACTACTATCTTATTCCCTCAAAACACTAACGTTTGTCATTATTTATTCTGATAATATGGACATATAACTTATAGTGATACATCTACATGGGATTAAGTGCATATTATTAGGCATATCTGTTATTATATTGTATTGGCTTTTGAGTGTAAACAAAAGGAAATGAAAAATTATTTTTTTAAGTAAATAAGTAATCAAAACCTTATATATTTCATTGAATTTGTATTATGTATAAAAGGATGGATAGTAGGTAAAGTTTAAGACTATTTCCCACACAATGACAGATCATATATAATGATAATTAATGTAATTATTCAATCGAAGATCGCTTAGTAACTAAGTTGTTCAAATGATATTAGACTGTGTGTAACACAGAATAAATTCTTATCGGATAATGCACAATTAACAGGTTGAAAAGTTGAGTATTTCAGTAGTGAAATATTTTATAGTGCCGTGCTTCGATAATAGTTCACTTCGAAAACCGTTATTATACCAATCTTAACAGTGTATAAAATCAGAAGGCATAAGGAAGCGGCAACTACATTTTTATTTATAAATGATGCAGACCAGAAAGTTGTAAGCACATGAGCAAATGTAAACGAGCGAAGCAAAGATGATGCATGGTGGCGATGGCTGGGAAGCCAACTCGAAAGCAAAGCAAAAATGATGCGTAGTGGAGATGGCTGGGAAGCCAACTCGCTATAAGCAAGCATTACTCAATATTTATAACCAGACAAAAATGAATGACAGACATATGATGAATAGGATACCAAGGTTACACACAATTACGCTCATATAAAATATAGTCAAGGTTAATAAGCGAATAATGAATAAGACCGAAATATGGCTCAATGTACAGGTGAATTGGCTTGTCCAGCAACTAGAATAAAGTATATGGGCTTAACATATAAACTGATACTACAATTTATTTTAGGTAAGAGGCTTCAAGTTATTCATTCACAGCTAGTAATATTGAAATGGTAGACAATTCTATATCGTTTACACAAAATGCATGAAATGAGGTTAATGGTAGGATCAAGGACGGAAGTTTCGTCCCGTTCTGGAGTCGTCAGATGGATATACCTGCATCTCAAAGTTCATGTTCACGCCATATGTCAAGACTTATCACAATTTAGTAAAAATATCAACAAGGCGATACCACAGATCATTGAAAATTAATTTAAATTTCAAATGGTATATTTGTAGTTTTAAACTACGAACCTACCACCACTAGAAGAATGGAATGATTCGATATCTGGTTCATCCTAGTATGGGATTGCTAAATAATGAACATTTTGGATTATGAGAAAGGGATTATTACCAAAAACTACCATTCTCTAGCACAAACCGTTAACCTCTAGAGTGTTTAGTCAGTATACACGGTGTATTCATCTAGTTTCAAGCGATTCACAAGATTAAGCGATCTCCTTCCATTGCTTAAGGTAGGTAACTGTCTCACATTCGAACTATCTGAATATTTCTAACCCATAAACAAACAATGACAAAGTAAATAATTTATACAGTCTATCACCTCATCTAACAGGAAGCTATTAGTATTTTCTAGAGAGACAAACTAAGGTCTAATTTATTCATTGTCATACGTCACCTTAGTATCCTCTATGATGTTATCTATTTGTACATTCTATTAATATGTTACAAAAGTCTTAAAACGTAGAATATAAAATAACTGATCAGGTACCATCTACTTAATTTACCCATTCATTGAACAATGTTATCTCAATTGATCATAACGAAATAATTCTTCTAGATCATAAATTTACATTGACAACTAATCCTTCACTTAGATTATTTCGTTGTTTAATCATTGCCAATTAATTCTCAACAAAACTGGCTATGAAAGATGGTTTTCTTTCAACAATCAAAATATCATTTAAAAAAACAAACTTCTAAATGATCAAACAGAATGAGAATAAATGTGTGTAAAAATGATCAGATTAGATTAGGAAATAATTTAGGCTGTTTATATATTTTATTAAAGTTTTCCTGTGAGTAATATTGCAATCCAAATCATTTGCTTTACATCTTTTCGAGCACATCATCTGGATAAGTCTGTATTCCAATAGAGATATTCACATACAGACTCGAACAAAGTACTTGTCACTTGAAGTACTCGTTT